AGAGACTAAAGATATCATTACAAAATGAACAAATCTGAGAGAGATCCACATGTAGTACCTATATATGTAATATCAAAGCAATTGGACTTGCGGTTTTTAACAAGAAGTCGAAAATATCACTTTTTACCAAAAATTACAAAAATATTCACCAAAATTAGAGAATTGAAGATATGATCATGAAATGAACAAATCTGAGAGAGATCTACCCAAGGTACATACACACCAAGTATCAAAGCATTCAGGCTTGTAGTTTTCAAGAAGAAGTCGAAAAAGTAAAACATTGACACGGACGATGGACGCCGGCGGACAATCACTCATATGATAAGCTCCGCTCGACAAAGTCGACAGCGGAGCTAAAAATGTTTCCTGAGCAGATTTTTTTTCACTACCATCTTCTGTCGAAATGAATAACACTGTAGTCCAACTAAATGTGTTTTGTATTGAAACAAAACACTGGAGTGAATAAATTATATGCTTTGAGAAGGTTTTTTTTTCCTTATATGGTTATATCCATTCATTTACCAAACAATATTATACACAAGGGAATGCCACTGCTACCGTAATACATGTGATGAGAATGGAACAGCGCCCTCTACGACAGGATTTCGGTTTATATGGTAGGTGCAGATTGTAAACTGCTATGCTTGTTATTCATAAAGAATGTGCTGGTAAACTGATTATACTTCTTGTTAAATGCTATTGTTTTTCACATAGATTGTAAATTCACCACACTTTGCAATTTTCACTGCAAGCCTTGGAATTGGAGAAGAGCAAGAGTTATTCAAAGCTGCAATTTCATACAAAGACATACTCTCCAACATCTGTGCCATTCTCGATTGAAATTGTATGCAGTAAAAAATGCATGTATATGCAATACCTTGTGATTTTTATAAGATACTAAGCAAAATTATGAACCCCAAAACTGACCAATGGTGCAATTGAAATCCACAAACAAATGAGCAACCCTCAAATCCAATAAAGAGTATGAAGTTTATCCTGTATAAACCACCTATTGATTTGTTCTGTCAGAGAATGCAATGAATATATTGCAATTTGTCATAGCTTCTATCTCGTGTACAACGAGGGTGATGTAAAAGAACATTCTACAACTGTAGTTACATATGATGGATGATTTATTTGATTACAAACAAGTATGTTATAAATCACTTTTCTTCAAGCTATAACAACTATATATGTTCAACAAAATTGGCAGAAAATGAGCACCAAGTGTGAAAATTAGATACCGTAATCATCAAGTTCATTTTAGTTAGTATCAATTTAATTTCCAGATTGGTCAGTCGGTGGATAGAGGGGGCGGGCGGTCAAAAAATCTTGACTACTCTTTATTTTGTCTTCATCATTTTTATTTTTCCACATACTCCAACACTGCTCAACTCAAACAGAAATAGCAGCACATTAGTGTTGTATTGCACACTGAGTAAATCTAAAATAATGGAAATCTTGGCTTCTGTTTTTAAAGAGATTGTTTAAACATTATGCATGAGTTGCTAACAATTCAAGTTATACTAGTATTCTTCTGGAACTTGTTTTAATGAAGTTTGTAAATTTGTTCTTAAGAAAAACAGACATTCACTGTCATTCATTATTGGCCCTTAAGGGACGACGTCAAAAGATCGATGTCGGATAAAAAACCTAATTCCTTTAGTTTTTTTCCAAACCCCCCTACCCCCCACTGAAACTTAATTGATAAATATTAGTCATGGCGTCAGACTACATACACCATTAAAAACAAATTGATAATCGGACAGTAGTATTGCATAGCAGTTGGTTGTTGGGTGGGTGTAAAAAGATTTTACAAATGCACCTCATTTGATGCACAGATTTACACTTGAACCAAACCCTTTTTTCTTTTTTCGGTTATTTCTGTCCATGATTGGATAGAAAAAAAACGAACTACAAATACTCCAAGATTGTTTTGACTTCATTAAAAAATAAAATCGTTTTTGTAGGATGGAAACTTTTTGAGGTCAAAACCCCCCACCCCCAAACTAAAGTAAATAAGTTTTTTATCCGACATCCATCCTATGACGTCGTCCCTAAACATGCATAATGTTGCAATGTTAAAATTTGCTAATTAATAAACAAGCAAGATTTCACATGAGAACACACATGCAATATGGAAGAACTAAAATAAAAAAATTTAACCAGTTTACACTGTCTATAAAACCACTCACATGTTCTATTGCTACTAGGCATTCTACACTTCACACATTACTGATTTTAAATGTAAAACAAGCCACAATTTACTTTAACTGCCATATTATTTCATTCATATTCATAAGTTGCTGACTGGTTTGATATGCACATTTCATAGGTCATTACATTTTGGGTGAAATCAACAGGAGACTCCAAATAAATTCTAAGGGGTACTTTCAGTATTAATAGAAAATGCATTTATTGTGTATTCAATTTATTTTAACCAATCATATAGACTGCTGTATAACAAAAGGCAAAGTTATCAACTAATTATGAAAAAGTAATGTATGTACTGACTCGATCTCACAAGTCACGTAATGATCTTGTGACATGCGTAGCAAACCAGTCAGAAACTTTGACGTGGCGAAACAACTGTGGTGCTTTTCACTGTGTTAAATGTACAATATATATACTTTGAATGCATCTATCAAACATAGATATCAGGAGATATCATCATCATTATTATTATCATAATTTAACAACAAATCATCATTAGGTTGGTTATGGATATTCTCAATCTGCTTATTGATTTGGTGTTTCTCAAACATCTTTGCTGATCCTGCTAGGATTATATCGAGAGCTGAACGACTGACGACTGTGAATGTCTTGTAAGCAAGGAAGTGATAATTAAAAGAAAACTGTCTGAATCTATGTGTAATAAATAAAAATGTTTTTCATTTTTTCTGAAGAGCTGCTTTTGCCACCATGATTGCATATTAAAATGCCATACCCAATAAAAAACCACCAATAAAACCGCTTGTTAACATCACATTTTGTTGACAGAGTTGCTTCAACTGAAAAAAAAAATGAAAAAATATAATAGGATACCATAAATAATAACAGCTGCATCAAATTTCAAAATTCTCCAAAAGTGAATCCATTGTACATCAATTTGTTGCTGGATACAATGAAATTTGACGTGCATGGTTATTTGCGCAATTGACAGACCAAATACTCATATCAGTGATGAAGAATGCACTAATCATTACATTACCTTCAGCAGGTATCCATTCATCTCGGGATACTCGTTTTGTAATTTCCTGGCGTTCTTTGTCAACTTTCGCTGGGCTTTATCAACATCTTTCTCTACTTTCCTCCAATCAATTTTTATATACCCTCCATAGTGAGCAACCTAATATATGATGGAAAAAAAGAAAACAAACCTATGAACATGAAAACATTGAGGGTATGCACATTTTGGCTGTTCTTTACTTAATTTGATGAAGAGGGAAAGTACCAGAAGAATTCCAATCACTGAAATGCCAATTGGTTTAACACTGTTAAGTGTAGCAGCAATTTCAAATGAGGAAATGCACTAATCAATATTTTCATCATGGTTTAAATTTTTACCCCAGGTTTTTACCCTCAAGAGACAAAATGTTTCACAAAAATGTATGAAAATACAAGTATAAATTTATTAATGTAGAATTGAAATTGAATATAACAACCCTGTTTTCATGTTAGACATTATTACGATATCATGTCATTTTACAACAGACATGAACATTCATTGAGGACACTATCAGGAGAACAAAAAACTCCCACATTGGTTGGTAATCATCTCATATTTTCTGAATTGATGGAACAATTCTGCCCCACATATTTAACTCATTGTGACAACACTGAATTACTGGTAAATTAAGTTTGAGCTGGTTCGCACAACTCAACTGTTAGTAATGACCTCGTAAAAACCTGTGTGTTACTTGTAAATAAAGATCATTCGGTTCAAGAAATGATTTGAATTAAATAGTGAGGTCGTATCAATTAAACTATTACACTGTCGTCCCATTGCATCGTTGGTCTTGCTCATTTTAAAGATCTACTTAGAAGTGTATAATCTGTTTATGTGCAATCAGTTGAATTATGGGATATTTTTTCAAGTGTCCATCAAATTTGTGAAAACTTAAACAGCAACTTTACACATCCATGTTCTGCCATATTCAAATAGTTAGACCCCCTAGGTTACCGATCTAGAATTGTGTTCTGATCCATAAAAGAATCATAAAGATAAGATTTAGATTAACGACGAATACTGACATATTCTCCTCATATTCAGACAATCAAAGATTGCTGACTAAGATAGACAAAAAACAACGATAACATTTATTTTTAATGCTAGGTTAAAAAAGGAAATTTCCGTATAACCCCTTCATTAACATCACCTTTAGAAACGCTTATATGACAGGTTATTTATCTGCACCATACACATTTTTGTGCCCATTTTTTAATAATATTTGTACAATTACGTTATAGACTTCTACAACTGCCAGAAGCTGATTGTACGCTATCTTGGCATGATTTGTTGGGTGTACTACACACAAAAAAATAATAACCTGCAGCTCAAAAATGTGAGCACTGCAATCCATAAGCAGAAGCAATGCCGTTCGTGACGTTTACTTACACGCATTATAATTAGACCTCCTCCAACGGCAGTTGCTGCTGCCCTACCGACCTTTTGAAATACATAACCAACAAACCTGAAATAGTAGTAAAACAGTCTTAAGAGACCGCATTCAAGGATTTGATGCACAGGGTTAGGATATGCTCAATTCCATATAGATTCGATAGAAAGTACTAAATGGTGCCTACTCCCAGAAAATTGTAAAATGAAATCAGCTTATTCGCACAGTAATATAATAATATTTTTATGATGAGATAGCAGCAATTTGTTTTTATGGATGTCTGAATGGTAATATGTAAAATGTCATATTACATTTATTAAATAGGTATATACAATAGATATCCGCAATTTTTTGAGAGATAAGTGTGATTACACATCTTCCTTATTTGTTTTTCAGTGTGGCAATACTGATTGGGACATGGTCAATCAAGGGTCAGACCAGAAGTCAAGTTGTCTCACCACTGCCTCTAATGTCTGGAGGTATTTTGGTTGTTTTAATCAGCATATCACAGTTGC